TTAAGCAAGGAGGGAGCCTGCGATGCTGACCCAGACATACACCAGGCTGCAATGAGAGTCAGAGGAAGATCCTTTCTAAATTGTGTTCTATAAATAGCTTACGCCACTGTACACTACACATCCAGGTAGGATACACCCAAGAGGAAGTGAACCTTTTTCAGGCATCTTTATTTTAGCGAGTGCAGAATAAGATGGGCTGAACCTCGAGAGGAATTCTGAGATACCGAAACAAAGTGGAGTGTGATGCAAATAAAAAGATAACTAGAAACTTGACCGGATTAGAAGACAGGTAGCAAGGCTCAAAGCAGGGAAGGCCATAAATGACGAGATGACAGTATACCCTAGGATAGATGAACTAGATGAACTTCTTTAGCATGGTTTCATGTGGATATTAATTTATTTTAGGGACTGAGTGACTCTGAGGACATTAGCTATCATTTTTATTGAGTCTAATCCTACTATCAGTTAATAATGGAGCTATCATTTTCATATAATTAGTCAAATACCTACAAGTGAACAGACCTTGAACTTCCTCTATGTTTCTGAGAGAGGGCTTAAACCTCCAAATGTGACACCCTTGAAGGGTAAATCAAGTCATGGACACTTAAGACGCTGGGATGATGACATAGTATTTGAACATTATAATTTGCCAAATGTCTGTTGAACCACCTGATGCAATGCAACTTGTGCCTCCTCCCTTACTCCTTTTTTGCACTTTTTCTTCCTTATATTCACCTCTTTTTTATCTGTTGTCCCTTTTTTTCTGACCACCTACATTTTATCTACCATATAAGCATCATTTCTTTATAAGTCCTCAACCTGTCCCCGCTAAAGGTATCTCCCAGATATTTGTTCTTGTAGGGAGGAAGGAGAGACAGTGGGTTTAATTAGAGGTGATGGGGTCACATTTTTTAAAAAGGGCAAGAAAACCCTAGTAGGGAGTCAAAGCATAAACACTCTATATCAGATTTTATGAGTGGCTATTACTAACAGCTTATGTAAATAAGCTCCAAAGGTAGACAGTTTGAGGTTGTTATTTTGCTCTATAGAATCATCAGGGATCTAGGTCCCTTTCACCTTGTGACTGTCCCCCATATACAGCTTCTCTTGGCCGCTGAAGCACTGGCCATCAGTTCTGCATTCTAGTCAGCGGAAAGGGCAAAAATACAGACTCTTCTGGCTAAGTCAGCATTTTTCAAGGAGCCTTCTGAGAATGCACAAATTCTTACATCTAGTTAGCCAGAATTTAGTCGCACAACCACACTTTGCTACAAAGGTAACTGGGAAATGTAATATTCATTTCAGGTGCCAGTGTACAAGATAAAAATTGTAATGGTTATTTGATTAAAAAGGAGAGAATACTTACGTGGTAGGCAGTCTCTGCCCTAGTCCCAAATAAAGGTATAACATTCAAGTTGTGAAGTGCAGAAACCAACCCTTAATAAATATGTGATGAAGATCTGTAAATAAATGAATGAATGAGAGAAGGAGTACAAGGAACAGAATCAGAACTAAGAGATTCAATGGTGTTTTAATGAATAGTAGGAAGGTGGGGGTGGGGAGTGGGGATAAAGCAAGAGGGAAAAGAGGAAGTGAGGAACAAGAACAGATAAATCTCTGAGTTAGAAGTCCCTAACACATCACGCTTTTTTAAATAACAGTATTAAAAAGCTTTATTTAAAAATGCAGTTTAACTCTATTTTGAAGTGATATCAAGACATATTTTTATTTTATATATTTATTTTTTGAGACAAAGTCTCACTGTTACCCTGGCTGGAGTGCAATGGGGCGATGTGGGCTCACTGCAACCTCTGCCTCCCAGTTTCAAGTGATTCTAGTGCCTCAGCCCCTCAAGTAGCTGGAACTACAGACGTGAACCACCATGCCTGGCTAATTTTTTGAAGTTTTAATAGAGATGGGGTTTCACCACGTTGGCCAGCCTGGTCTCAAACTCCTAACCTCAAGTGATCCGCCCACTGCTACTAGAAAAAAACTTATCCCTACTTCCCTAATTTAAGAATTATTTTTATTTCTTCAAATCATCTATTTAGTATGATAGATATTTTTGTCAGTGTACTTAGAATTTTATGACTTGGTACATTTTTATTAATCACTCATTTAAAAAATTACTCCATGTTTCCGCATAATTATACTTATTACCTTATGGTCTATATAATAGTTTTAGGTCACTTTAGGCTTCATATATACATGTGTGTGTCTGTTTGTATGTATATACATACACACAGTCATGTGTTACTTAACAACAGGGATACATTCTGAGAAATGCATCATTAAGCAATTTCATCATTGTCTGAACATCACAGAATGTACTTACACAAACCTAGATATAATCTACTACACACCTAGGCTATATAGTATGGCCTGTTTTCCTAGGCTACAAACCTGTATAGCCTATTACTGTAGTGAATACTGTAGGCAGTTTAACAATGGTAATTATCTGTATATCTAAACATATCTAAAAATAGCAAAGGTACAGTAAAAATATGGTATGAAAGATTTTAAAATAGTATACCTGGATAGGGCAACTCTTATAATCTTACTGTCTTATATGCAGCCCGTTGTTGTCCAAAACATTGTTAATCACAGCACAACAGGGCCACTTCTATCTCCATTTGGGATACATTTCACAAAAGGTGAAATAGCTGAGTAAAAAGATTGTCATATATGTTTAAGCATTGCTAATAACCACATTTTTGTCTAACGGACACTGTTCATCAGGCTGTGTGAAAACAGGCATTCTCACACTTTACTGTTGAGAGTACAAAATAACACCCTACAAAGGTCTCTCTCTTATTGTTCATTGCAGCATTATTTGTTAAAGCTAAACATTGGAAGCAACCCAAATACCCACCCCGCTAAGAGACTGGTTAAAAAAATTATGATACATCTACACAATGAATTATTATGCAGGTGTGAAAAAAGAGGACTACTTCAGGAAATAGATTTAGGACATTTCTAGGCTCTTCTGTTAGGCGATAAAGAAAGGCATGAAAGAATGTATATAATCTAACTTACGGGGTAAAAAAGGCAAATACTTTTGTAAGAAAAAAGGAAGGGAGGAGGGAAAGAAGGAGAGGATAAATAAATAATGAAAATGGGATATGAGTATATGGGGTAAAGGGACTAGGGATGGAAGCAGAACTCCTCTATACCTTTTTATATAATGTGGATTTTGAATTAAGTAAATGTTTTGAATTTTCAAAAAAGAATTAAAAAGGGATGAAAGCAAAGCCTGAAATGGAATATAAACAGAAACCAGTGATCTTAACTGTATATCATTTGTAATATAACCATATAGAGAAAAGAAATAATTCAAGTAAGGTATTTATCCAGTTCTTTGACTATACTCCCTTAACAGGATATAATTAAAAAACAAAACAAGCAAAGAAATTTGAACTCTATGCAGTAGATATATTATTGCTAGTTATCGATATATTGGTATTATAATCTTGAAACTTTTTTTTTTTTTTTTTTTTTTTTGTGATGGAGTTTTGCTCTTGTTGCCCAGGCTGGAGTGCAATAGCTCCATCTCAGCTCACTGCAACCTCCACCTCCTGGGTTCAAGCGATTCTCCTGCCTCAGCCTCCCAAGTAGCTCGGATTACAGGCATGTGCCACCATGCCCAGCTAATTTTGTGGGGTTTTTTTTAGTAGAGATGGGGTTTTTCCATGTTGGTCAGGTTGGTCTTGAACTCCTGATCTCAGGTGATCTGCCCGCCTCAGCCTCCCAAAGTGCGGGGATTACAGGCTTGAGCCACAGCGCCCAGCTGAAACTATTTTGTTTATAAGATAGAGTAAAATGAGTGAATTTCTTTATGCTATCGGGAGCCAGAGTTTTCACAGTGGGGGAAAAGAAAAAAAAATGTGCAACGGTGAAAAATGAAAAGGAATTCTGTGAAGTTGTTTTTGAACAGAAAGCATCTTATAAAATCTTCCATATATATATATGGATATGTGTGTGTATATATGTGTGTATGTATGTATGTGTGTGTATGTATATATACGTATATATGCATATATATACATATACATATGTATGTATATGTACATATACATACATACGTATATATATGTATATATACATACGTGTGTGTGTATATATATATATATATATATAATTTTCTAGCTCTTGTCCACTGACGGGGCCTAGAGTCAATAATATATCCTAGTAGCAATGAGGTTATTCATTGCCCAAAATCCAGTTCTTGGTTTCTGTATCCCATTTTTCATTAGTAAGTACTGTGGCTTCATAGAGCAATGGCGATTCCAGGTTTAGGGTAGGAATAGTATAAAATGAGACTGAAATATCTTATGTGAGAAAGTGAAGTGCAAAAAAACTGTTGGGAACTTATCAAAGGACATAGAAACCTGTTTGAGGCAAAGAAAGAAAGAGAAGGAAGGATGGAAGGAAGGGAGCGAGGGAGGGAAAGAGAAAGAGCAGGAGAGGAGAGGAGGAGAGAAGGAGAGAAGAAGGGAGGGAGGGAGGGAAAGAGGAAGGAAGAAAGGAAGGAGGGAAGGAAGGAAGGAAGGAAGGAAGGAAGGAAGGAAAACTGTTTCAAAGGGCTCCAACAGACCAAATTTTAAATAATTTAAGCATCAACATAACGACAGTAATTGTTTATAACAGTGAATTTTAAAAGAATCCAATAGTTCATCGTGATAAAATGAGACAGCAGGGAAAAGGTATTTTTTGCAGGAAATGGCAACTAATAAACGTAGAAATGTGCCTCCGTCTCCTCACCTGTTAAATGGAGAGAACTGTACCTAACTCGCAGGGTTGTCAGGCAGAGTATGGATTAACACGTGTTACAACACTACGTTAGCCGCTCTGACACCGCCGCCCGGAACACGGTCACCTAGCACCGCACCACGCCTGCAGGCGGGGACGCGCGACCGCGGGCCGAGGACACCTCCGGCCTTCCGAGCCCGCGTTCCGCGGACAGCGCGCCGCGGTGACGCACTTCCGGCCTTCGTCGCGTCTCCTCCCGGCGGCTGCCGTCAGCGCTGCCGCGGCGCCGTGACCTGCGCTAGTGGCGTCTCCTCTCGCAGATGCCTCGCGGGGCCTCGGAGTCGGGCTGCAGCTGAGGGGCTTCGGAACGGCAGGCCTGTGCGCCGCGACCCGGACCGGGTATGGGGATTTGGCGGCCGGAGATGGGCCGGGCAGGGGAGGGCCGAGGGGGTTTCTCCGAGCCCGGACGGGCCCGTTCACCGAGTCAGCGTCGTTGCTCCTCCCTTTCCTCCACCCCGTTTCTGATCCTGCGTTCTTCAGCCTTTCAGCCCTGGTACCGGTGGCACTCTGAACTCTCCCTGTCTGCATCTTAGGATCCCACAGATTCGGATATGAAGAAATGTGTGCTGTGCACTTATTTTAAAGAGTGAACAGAGATGGTTTTAAAAGATGCCGCAGCCTTTCTTAGTCTTGCTGCTATCGATTTTTTCTAAAAGAATACATAGCATTTACTATGTGCCAGCCCAGCACTGTTCTAAGCACTTCCCAAATATTACCTGTTTCTCGTAACTCTGTAAGATAGGTACTGCTATTATGTAGACTATGCCCCCACCTCCCTGTCCTGCCTCTTTTTTTAAATTAACTTACAAGAATAAAATGAAGTTAAGTAACTTGCCCAAGGTCATAAAGCTAGTAAGGGCTGTAGGAAGGATTCAAATCCAGGCACTGTGGCTCCAGAGTCATTTTCTTAAAACCTTTGTTATGCTCACTCCACTCTTTTTCCGTATTAGCTTTAAAGCCATAACCTGGGAGATTAACTTGGCTCATTTGAATTCCATCTTTCTTTTGGACTTCAGTAGTCCTGGGTTTCTACTTAGGATTTACTTGGAGAGGAGAATATATCTGAAGACACATATCTTTCGGTGTGTCTGCAAACCTGATAAAACGGCCATTTTATTGATTTGTGTGCTTGTTTTTGCCCACTCATCTTGTTCTTTGGGCAATAGAAAAGATTCCAGTCCTGGCCCTAAGGGAAGGTAGCAACTATTAATTAAGCCACCATTGTGCCAAAATTGTATATTATCGCATTAAAAGATTAATTTGCTGGTTTATATGCGAGGCCAGGCTTTGTGCAAAAAAACACTTTCTGTGCATTATCTTATTTAATATTCTCAACAAGTTGGCAAGGTAGTTGTTGCCCTCATTTCATATATGAGCTTGAGGCTTAGAAAAATCAAGTAACTTGCCCAAGATCACTGTGTTAGAATTTACAACTGGCGGGCCCTGGTGGCTCATGCCTGTAATCCCAGCACTTTGGTAGGCTGAGGTGGGCGGATCACCTGAGGTCAGAAGTTCGAGACCAGCCTGACCTATATGGTGAAACTCCATCTCTACTAAAAATACAAAAAGTAGCCAGCAGTGGTGGTGGCACCTGTAATTCCAACTACTCAGGAGGCTGAGGCAGGAGGATTGCTTGAACCTGGGAGGCAGAGGTTACAGTGAGCCAAGATCCTGCCACTGCACTCCAGCCTGGGCAGCAGAGCAAGACTCCATCTCAAAAGAAAAAATTCATAACCATATCTGCCCATGTTCTTTGCTACCTAATACTACCTTCTGCTTATCTAAGGTAAATAAAATATATGGGCTTATATCAACTCTATGTATGTGTGCACATATGTATACATGTGTATGTATGATTGCAAATTTATAGAAAATGAAAAGGACACATTCCAGTCTTTAAGACTGTTTATTTTGGGGTAGTAGAACTTGGTGAAGGAATTATATATTCCGCTCTACTTTTTGGATTAAAAAAATGGTTCTGAAGAGAAGTAACGGTACAAGATGAATTGTGACTGACGGTGAAAGGTATGACTCACACAGTACAGGACAAAGGAGAGTGAGCTGAAATGGGATAAAGAAGACTTCAGAGAGGATGTGCAATTTGAATCAAGCTGCAGAGATTGGATAGGGTTTGAATGAGGGCATAAGGCAAGAGCAAGGTCATGGCACAGGGATAAGAAAAGCCTGATTAGAATAGTGAGAAAGAAAGCCTGACTGGAACTGAGAGTTCTGCTTGTGGAATAGAGGAAAGCAACAGTAGAGCCAGACAACAGAAGCTCAAGGTCTGACTGGTTTTAAGCTGTGCCTCAGAGTTTGGGAATTCATCCACTTAGTGAGAAGCCAGAGATGGTGTCAACAGAGGTAAGGGTTGTGGGGTGTGTGGTGATAAAGGCACATTTTTATTGTGTGCTGCTTAGTCTTCACCTACATGTATATCCTTGGTAAAGAGCATCCTTCCATGAGGATGATGGTAGATTTGGAGATGTTGAGCTTGCTGAGGCTCTAGGGGGAACCAACTTTAAAATGCAGATCATTGTGCTAATTACATACTTGGCATATACACTGAGATTGTGATCCCGAACGGGAAATTAGGAACTCGATGTGACTAGGAGGGCAGGATTATAAAAAACTGGGGAAGCCTTTTGGAGACACTGGATTCAAAGAAGAAATCAGATATGCTGGTACAAGGATCTGGGTACTAAGGCCACAAGATAAAAGCATAATCAGATGAAGGAAAGCAAAAACAAACCCAGGGTATACAGAGAAAATAGGGAAATTTATATTTGGGAAACTGAGTATTTGAAACACCACATCCCAGAAATGAATTTTTCTGGGCAGAACTCTAAGCTTCAGCTGCATTGTTTTTGAACAGAAAAGCTTCAACTTGGAAACCAAGAGGCACAAGTGATAAATAAGAAAAGACATTTCTCAGAATCTAGGAAGTTGAAAAAAAGAAAGCATGAGTGACTGTTTCATCCTTTGAATCTATGGTACGTTTACTGACTAATGTGAGAGTACATATTCTGAATTTAGCTATTCGATATTTGTACCACAAAACTTTCTTACCCTATAACAAATTCAGCAGACCAGGTTTCATCAAGCCGTGATCATCTGTTCCCTGGATGATTGTCACAGCATTCCTCTCTGCTTCCACTTACCCCAGGGTCACTGACACAGCAGCTAGAGTTATGCTTTTATATAAAATGTCAGTAAAATTTTGTTACCCCTTGGCTCAAAATCCTCAGTGGTTTCCGTATCTCAGAGTACAAGCCAGAGCCCTTACCACTGCCTTTCAGGATCTGTTCCCAAGCTCCCTGCTTGATCTCCCGGCACTTTTCCTTTTGTTTTCTTTGTATCATTGCCATTGCTCAACTAGCAATTACTGAAAAATCGAGGCATGTTCCCACCTGCAAAACTTTGGCCTTGCAGTTCCCTTTGCAGGAACAGTCTTTCTCTAGACAGCCATGTGACTTGCACCTCACTTCCCACAGAACTGTTCAACCATTACCTTATCAAGGCCTTCCCTGACTCTATAAAATAGCAAGCTTTCTTTCCCCTTACTCTTTCCTTTCCCTTTATTTTCTTTATAGCATTTATCTCTACTTCACAAATAGTTAATTATTATCTGCCTCCTGGACCCCCTTTTCTTCATCCTGGCCTCTTCTTTCCCCAACAGAGAGTTAGCGTTACAGCAGTGGAGACTGTAAATTCTGAAGTCAGATTTGTTGGGTTTGAATTGCAGCTTCATTACTTCCTACCTGTAACTGACTTGGACTTTAGACTAGTAACCTAAACTTTTTGTATCTCAGTTTTCTCATCTGTGCTATGGTGGTAATAATAGCACCTTCTTCATGGTTGTTTTGAGGATTAAATGGGTTAGTATATACAAAGCATCCGTAACACCTGGCAGGTTAAAAGGACTATAAATGTCTGCTATTATTAATATTGTTATTAGGATGTCAATTCCATGAGACTACGGACTTTGTTATAATTACAGCTGCATCCCTAGTGCCTAGAACAGTACTTGGAATATGGTAGGCCCTCAATAAATATTTGCTAATTGAACGAGTGGTATATGAAAAGTTATGACAGAAAAAGATAATATGGTAGTCACAGTGGTGGTGAGTCCACACCAAGAAAAGCACGGGAAGGCCTGGCTTGGTGGCTTATGCCTGTAATACCAGCACTTTGGGAGGCCAAGGCAGACAGATCACAAGGTCAGGCGTTTGAGACCAGCCTGGCCAACATGGAGAAACCCCATCTCCATTAAAAAAACAAAAAACAAAAAAGCCGGGTGCGGTGGCTCAAGCCTGTAATCTCAGCACTTTGGGAGGCTGAGGCGGGTGGATCACGAGGTCAAGAGATTGAGACCACCCTGGTCAACATGGTGAAACCCCATCTCTACTAAAAATACAAAAAATTAGCTGGGCATGGTGGTGCGTGCCTGTAATCCCAGCTACTCAGGAGGCTGAGGCAGGAGAATTGCCTGAACCCAGGAGGCGGAGGTTGCAGTGAGCTGAGATCGCGCCATTGCACTCCAGCCTGGGTAACAAGAGCGAAACTCCGTCTCAGAACAAAACAAAACAAAACAGCTGGGCTTTGTGGCGAGTCCCTGTAATCCCAGCTACTCGGGAGGCTGAGGCAAGAGAATCATTTAAACCTAGGAGGCAGGTTGCAGTGAGCCGAGACTGCACCATTGCACTCCAGCCTGGGCGACAGGGCGAGACTCCATCTCAGAAAGAAAGAGAGGAAGGGAGGGAAAGAAAAGGAAAAAAGGAAGGGAGGGGAAAAGGAGGGAAGGGGGAAGGGGGAAGGGGAATAAAAGTGCGGGAAAACATGAATTTGAGGATTCTGTCTTTAGAGAAAAATTCTCTGTACAGTTTCTGGGGTAGTGATTATAAAAGGCAACCAAACCAAAGATCTCAGAACTTTATGGAGAGGATTACGTGTGCAGGTTATCCAGGATGCTGTCCCATGCCAGTAGCTTTTTGCCCTTTGATAAATATAACTAATAATCACAATATGAATCTAACTTTTCTTCTAGTTGTAATATGATCAGTGTTCACTTGTAATTTAAATACCTGACATGGTTTGGCTGTGTCCCCAGCTAAATCTCATCCTGAATTATAGTTCCCAAGTTCCCATAATCCCCATGTGTTGTGGGAGGGACCTGGTGGGAGGTAATTTAATTTCGGGGCAGGTACCTTCACACTGTTCTCTTGATAGTGAGTGAGTTCTCATGACAGCTGATGGTTTTATAAAGGGCTTTTCCCTCTTTCCTCGGCGCTTCTCCCTGCTGCTGCCATTTGAAAAAGGACATGTTTGCGTCCCCTTCCACCATGATTGTTAGTTTCCTGAGGCCTCCCCAGCCCTGCTGAACAGTGAGTCAATTAAACCTTTTTCCTTTATAAATTTACCCAATCTTGGGTATATCTTTTTTTAGCAGCATGAGAGCAGGCTAAAAAAATACCATATCCTTAGTTATTTAATTTCACAATCCATGTCAATACCTAAGAACAGTGTAGGGTTGCTGGGCACAGTGGCTCATGCCTGTAATCCCAGCACTTTAGGAGACCAAGGTGGGTGGATCATCTGAGGTCAGGAGTTCAAGACCAGCCTGGCCAACGTGGTGAAACATCATCTCTACTAAAAATACAAAAATTAGCCTGGCGTGGTCGCGGTCACCTGTAATCCCAGCTACTCAGAAGGCTGAGGCAGGAAAATTGCTTGAACCCAGGAGGCAGAGGTTGCAGTGAGCCAAGATCGTGCCATTGCACTCCAGCTTGGGTGACAGAGTGAGACTCTGTCTCAAAACAAACAAACAACAACAACAAAGAACCCAAACAAACAGAATAGTGTAGGGTTATTTTTGCAATGGATTAAAATAATCTTCTTATAATTAAAAATATTTTATTCTACAGGTTATTTTTCATTTGTGGGTCATAAAATCTGTTCCCAAGCTTTTTTATCTTTCAATGAAATAGGTTTAAAAAATAATTCTATGTCACTATATAGAGCAAGCATACATATTGTTTTGTGAAATTATTATTTCAGTTATTTGTATATCTCATAAATGCACAAACATACACTCACATGAATGTGCATGTATGTTCTGGGTTATAATACAAAATATTTCTTAATAAGGGTCCTGGTCAAAAAAGTTTAAAAGTCTCTGCTTCAAATGGTGCTTAGAAATCATTGGGCCACATAATTGTTTTTCTTTCAGAAAATTGCCTTCATTAAGTACTATCCTAGTTAAGATTGCTCATAAGTTTGTTTGTTTTTATTTTGTTTTTTCTTTTGAGACAGAGTCTCGCTCTGTCACCCAGGCTGGAGTATAGTGATATGATCTTGGCTCACCACAATCTCCGCCTCCTGGGTTCAAGTGATTCTCCAGCCTCAGCCTCCTCAGTAGCTGGGATTACAGGCACGTGCCACCACGCTCAGCTAATTTTTGTATTTTTTAGTAGAGACAGGGTGTCGTCATGTTGGCCTGGCTGGTCTCAAACTCCCGACCTCAGGAGTCATAGACATTTGTCTTTTTATTAGCAGTAATTTTATTTTATATAAAATTGCCCACTCTCTACCTTCAAGTAGCTTCAAAGAGAAAAAAATTCCAAGAAATTAAAGGGCAAGAAAAAGCTCAAATTCTACTCCTGTTTTAAAGTACTAGAATCAGTATTTCATTCATTTTAATATATCTGAGCCTAGACCACTATAGTCAACTACTTTGATTCTTTTGCCTTAGCGCTTAAACCACTAAGATATTTATTTAATCTTACAATAACACAAGAAAAATAACAACAGTATTACCACTTTAGAGTTTACTAAGCACCCAGCTTCTTTGTGCTCATTATCCTCATTTTATCTTTGTATGAACCTAGAAAGATATGCAGTGTTGGTTTTAGGATTCCTATTTTATAGAACGAAGAGACCAAGGCTCAAAACAGGAAGCCCAAGACTTTGGAGGGAATACCAGCAGGATGATTTCTCAGCCCAGTACCTTCCACGTGTTAAACCTAGGTCTCTCTCCTCCATCCCTCCCATGATTGGAGGGACTCTGCCTCTCCTCTCTAAGGGCATTGCTTAACCTTCTTTTTATCTTCTTTACTTTCCCTCCATCCTCATTTCCTTTTTCTCCTTAATTCTTGGTGTCATCTGTGACCACTTGGACCCAAAGTGCTTATTTACCCTCATACAGCTAAAATTTGCCCTGAATTTAGAATTTTGCCATTCAAGTTGAAACCCAGTATACTCAAGCTGATTTGAGCTGTTTCATTCAGGATGACTGAAACAGTATCTTCATTTAGTAAACCATAGGAGTTTTTGTTTCTTCCATTTCTGTTTTTCTTCTATTATCTGGATTTGTATGTCCAAAGTATCTACTAGTTTTTTTGTTTTGTTTTGTTTTGTTTTGTTTTTTGAGACAGAGTTTCGCTCTTATTACCCAGGCTGGAGTGCAATGGTGCGATCTCGGCTCACCGCAACCTCCGCCTCCTGGGTTCAGGCAATTCTCCTGCCTCAGCCTCCTAAGTAGCTGGGATTACAGGCACGCGCCACCAGGCCCAGCTGATTTTTTGTATTTTTAGTAGAGACGGGGTTTCACCATGTTGACCAGGATGGTCTCGATCTCTCGACCTCATGATCCACCCGCCTCGGCCTCCCAAAGTGCTGGGATTACAGGCTTGAGCCACCGCGCCCGGCCAAAGTATCTACTATTAGTATTTTGATGTTCCTTCTTTATGAGTCAAAGTGGCTGATTTTAGTATAAATACTCCAGTCCCTCCTTGTCCTGAGGTTTTCTGCATTTTTATATTTTTTTCTTTGCAAATTATTGTCTAGATCTCGGGGTTTCCAGAAGAAAAGACCAAGGGAGAATTACCAAGAATAGATTCTTTTTCTGAATAGTTAAACCTTTGATGTCCATAACCTTGACCCTTCAGACTGCAGAGATGCAGGAAGGACTTCTGGCAGTGAAGGTAAAGGAGGAAGAGGAGGAACACTCCTTTGGGCCAGAATCAGGCCTGTCAAGAAATAACCCTCATACTAGAGAGATCTTTCGTCGACGCTTCAGGCAGTTCTGCTATCAGGAGACCCCTGGGCCCCGGGAGGCTCTTCGAAGACTCCAGGAGCTCTGCCATCAGTGGCTGAGACCAGAGATGCACACGAAGGAGCAGATCCTGGAGCTGCTGGTGCTGGAGCAGTTCCTGACTATCCTGCCTGAGGAGCTCCAGGCCTGGGTGAGAGAGCACCGCCCTCTGAGTGGAGAGGAGGCAGTGACTGTGCTGGAGGATTTGGAGAGAGAGCTGGATGAACCAGGAGAGCAGGTGAGAAGACAGGAGAACAGGTGTTTTTATCTGTAAGAACAAGTATGGGATTTCAGTGTAACAGGAAGAGGATTTTTTTCATGCCAGACTTGATCTTCTGTAGGCTTTTAAACTCTGTGCCTCTGCTTTTTCTTTGCCAACTTCTTGGTCCTTCGTTTCTATCCAGTGGCCCTGAGAAGGCTTCCTTGCAGTGTTCTCTCTGATATTTGGTTCCCAACTGTTCTTGATTTCCACCAGGTCCTGACCCATGCTTATGACGAGGAAGAGTTTGTAAAGGAGAAGGCAACTCCAAGATCAGCTCAGGAGTCGTCAAATGGCCAATTCCAAGCCTTAGAAGAGCAACGTCAGTATAATTTGCGAGAGGTGTGCCCAGTTCAGGAGATGGGTGAGGATTAGAATTTCCTCAGAGAGCCTACCTCATTCTCTGAATATTTATCAATTCAACACGTTTATTTAGTGTCTGCTGTACGCCAGGCACTATGCCAGGTACCAGGGGTACAGTGATAAACAAGGCAGATGTGGTCCCTGTTCCCATGAAGTTTACAGTCTAGTGGGAGAGGCAGACAATTAAGTAAGCAGTTATAATACAGTGCATCTTTTCCCTGAGCTCTGGGTATAATAGTTTTAGACTGAAAAAAATAAACAGAAAAAGTGGCTACTTGTCCCCTTCCACCCATTCTCCTGGCCACTTTTTTTCTTTTGTCTTTTGAAAGATAACATGTTATCTTTCATACTTCATGTTATCTTTCATGTTATCATTATTTTAGATGGCAAGGCTGGGACTTGGAATGTGGAGTTAGCCCCAAAGAAGGAGATTTCTCAGGAAGTGAAATCTCTTGTACAAGTTCCTGGAAAACTGAATGGTAATATTACTCAGATGCCTGAGTATGGAGATATCTGTGACCATGAGGGCAGACTGGAAAAGCAAAGGGTGAGCTCTTCAGTGGAGAGACCCTATATCTGTAGTGAATGTGGAAAAAGCTTCACCCAGAATTCCATTCTTATTGAGCACCAGAGAACACACACAGGTGAGAAGCCTTATGAATGTGCCGAGTGTGGGAGGGCCTTCAGCCAGCGGTCAGGCCTATTCCAGCACCAGAGACTGCACACTGGGGAGAAGCGCTACCAGTGCAGTGTTTGTGGCAAAGCCTTTAGTCAGAACGCCGGCCTTTTCCATCACCTCAGAATTCACACTGGGGAGAAACCTTACCAGTGTAATCAGTGCAGTAAGAGTTTTAGTCGACGTTCAGTCCTCATTAAGCATCAGAGAATTCATACTGGAGAGAGACCTTATGAATGTGAAGAATGTGGCAAGAACTTCATTTACCACTGCAACCTAATCCAGCATCGGAAAGTCCACCCTGTGGCTGAATCAAGCTAGCTCCTTGGAACAGGTAGGAAAAAATTTCCTTACATCTGACCACTAGCCAAGAGGGCAAGGGTACTGTTTCTTTCTTTGTCCCTGCTGTGTCCTCTAGCATAGAAAGTCAAGGGAAGCCGGGCGCGGTGGCTCAAGCCTGTAATCCCAGCACTTTGGGAGGCCGAGGCGGGTGGATCACGAGGTCAAGAGATCGAGACCATCCTGGTCAACATGGTGAAACCCCGTCTCTACTAAAAATACAAAAAACTAGCTGGGCGTGGTGGCGCGTGCCTGTAATCCCAGCTACTCAGGAGGCTGAGGCAGGAGAATTGCCTGAACCCAGGAGGCGGAGGTTGTGGTGAGCCGAGATCGCGCCATTGCACTCCAGCCTGGGTAACAAGAGCGAAAACTCCGTCTCAAAAAAAAAGAAAGTAAGTCAAGGGAAAGCCATTAAAAACTCCCTTACTTTTATGCAGAGAGAAGCATATCTTAAATACATCTGCTGAGTTGTCTGGTCAGTGACATCCTCAGCTTTGTGATACTGAGTACTGTGTCTTTTGTGTTGACTTCATTATATATGCTGTAGACCTAGTTTCATACACATCTGTGCAAGAAGTTTTCTAAGTGTATTTCAGGAAAACTTCTTCATCCTAGTTTATTAAAACTTTTTTTTAAAAGTTTTAAAATAATTATATGTAGCCTGAGTATAAAATAATCTCAAAGGCAGTTCACTTAGTATTTAAAAATTAAAATAAAATTCCTAATATAGGTTACCTGACTACTTTCCATTCACATAAGATATGATAATTTGCTTTTTAACCTACAGAAAGGGCAGATGAATCTTCCTGTATAAATGTAGATTTATAGTAAGTTAGATTGCTGTAGATTTTTTAGTAAGTTAGCCTTTAGTCAGGAACTAAGAAATTGAAGCAACCATATGTTATTAGCAGCTCAGTGGCTCTTCATAACAAATATTGCTGATGATTTTAAATTTACACAGTGCTAAGAAACTTAGCTAAAAATCTGTTATCTCACCTGAGACTTTTGATTGGAAAATATAGGCCTCTTTGTGTTTTTTTCCATTAACATATAATGAGCATTTTTTGTTTTTGCCTTTTTCCACTTCATTAAATATTTTGTATGAAAAATTTGAAACATCAGGGAAGAGTATGATCACTCTTTCATGTTGTTTGTTTTTATAGCCTCCACATTTCTGAGCATTTACTATTGATTACCACCAAGGTCATATATAAAAAAATTTCTTTCTCTTAACATTGACTTAGTAACTCTTTACAAAGCTTTATACAAGGTCCAGGAGACAAAGAAATGAAAAATCTATGGTGAAAACAATCGAGTTTGGAATACACCCAAATACCCAGTATACAACATGTAACTTAAGAATAACAGAATCACAGCCGGGCGCGGTGGCTCAAGCCTGTAATCCCAGCACTTTGGGAGGCCGAGGCAGGTGGATCACGAGGTCGAGAGATCGAGACCATCCTGGTCAACATGGTGAAACCCCATCTCTACTAAAAATACAAAAAATTAGCTGGGCATGGTGGCACGTGCCTGTAATCCCAGCTACTCAGGAGGCTGAGGCAGGAGAATTGCCTGAACCCAGGAGGCGGAGGTTGCGGTGAGCTGAGATCGCGCCATTGCACTCCAGCCAGGGTAACAAGAGCGAAACTCCGCCTAAAAAAAAAAAAAAAAAAAAAAAAAGAATAACAGAATCACTCTAAGGGACCCTAGAGATCACTTCTGCATGCCTTTATTTGACAGATAAAAAGAAGTTCTGGGAAGTGACTAAGATCATAGAGCCACTTAAAAGCAGAGCTGGAACTAGAACCCTGTCATCTAGTTCCTTGAGTAACACTCTTTCTACTAAGCCACTGGGAGCATTGTATCACCAAATTAAAATTACAAGTATATGAAATTTATTGGATTTATAAGTCATTGAAGTTGCTCAACAAACCTCCCCCATTTGTATGTTTCAATAAATGTACAACTCTTCTATTTAATTTCCAGTGGAGTCCAGGAAATACTGACGTCACTTATTCTTCATTGGAAGCATTTTATTTATTTTTGTAATTACTATTTTTAACTTTTAAAATTTAATTTACTTAGGAGGAGTTTTTAAAAAAAAGATAATTCATTCTTCACCTGATTCAAAAATCAAAATAATACAAAAAGGTCTACTTCTTCCCTTTATAGGTAGCCATTTTATTTTATTAGTTTCTTACGTATCTTTTAGTGTTTCTTCCCATAAATGTAAGGAAATAGGAATGTATAATCTTATTTCCTCCATTACTCAAAAAGCATATTATTTATACTCTTCTAATACCTTGCTGTTTTCTTGAAAGAATATAATTTTTAGAGATGTCCACATCGTAACACAGAACTTCATTTTTTTAATAAGTTAATAGGATTTTATTTGTTCATTCTCCATAGTTTATTTGACAAACTCCAACAGATGAAAAAAATCACTATTTAAGAATGTTACATATTGTTTCATTCAAGTTTAGTCCAAGTTAAGTTTCTTCTGTTCAAAAGCTAACAGCTTTTATATGAGCTAGGAAATAAGGTGTAGGCAACCAGAATTGCACGTAAGTCCTCCACAAAGAAATGGAGAAGTGATGGGTGGTATTTTTCAGCTTAGTGTATTTGGTTCTATCACATATTCTTACACTTGACATTTCAAACTGTTTGTGTCAATACTTAAGGCTAATTGTGGGTAATATAAAAAATCTTTTTTTTTGAGATGGAATCTTGCTCTGACACCAGGCTGGAGTGCAGTGATGCAATCTCAGCTCACTGCAACCTCCACCTCCCGGTTCAAGTGATTCTTCTGCCTCAGCCTCCCAACTACAGGTGCATGCCACCACGCCCAGCTAATTTCTGGTTTTTTTTTTAGGATGGTCTTGATCTCTTGACCTCATGATCTGCCCACCTCAGCATCCCAAAGTGCCAGGATTATAGGCATGAGCCACCACGCCCAGCCTATAAAAAATCTTATATTTCCTCAAGAGTATTTTTTTTATTGTCTTGAGGTTAAATTATTTCCAAGAGAAATAGCTACAGATTTTTGAGTGAAGAAAAATATAGTAGACTTAAGTTTCAAGTAAGATCAACTTCTTAAGTAAATACATATTCCATAAAATCACATAATACATATTCTATAGTATTCCAAGTTTATAAATATCTTAAATGTCTCTCCATAAGTTGAAGCAGCATGTTTGGCTAATTCCATTACATCAGGTCTTAAAAGATTTAAAATATGAACAGATGAGGTTTTTGAAGGATGTATGTCTTTTTTTTTTTTTTTTAATAAAGATGGGATTTCACCATGTTGGTCAGGCTGGTCTTGAACTCCCAACCTCAGGTGATCTGCCCGCTTTGGCCTCCAAAGTGCTTGGATTACAGGCAAGAGCCACCATGCGCAACCTGAAGGATATATTTCTAATGGAATGAATTTTCATACCTGCACCTGAATGTTGGATGATTTGTTTTGTGCTTGTTTTCTCACAGCCTCTCAAAATATCTTGTTTTTCTCAACAACAGGAAAATCTTAAGAAGCAAAAGATGTTATATATGCTGTAGAGACCGAAATACCACTTAGAATGCAATGATGCTTAATATGATTAAAATGACTTGACAGTTAGCAAACTAACTTCCCTTGTTTTCTGATAGTAATTGTGTAGATTCTCTTATGGTAATCTTTTATCTAGTGTGCACATTCCTCATTAATTGAGAAATAATGTTTGACTTAACTGATAGACAGTGGCATGTAGACACTGGCTGCTTCTGCGATTATTCCACTTCTTGGACAGAAGTTCTTAGTTTGTCTCCCTTTCATGTTTCTAAATTTCTCTCACTTCTCTCTCCCCTTTTTACTACCCTGGCTCCTTTATTCAGCCCATTAAGACTCTAACATAGACCTCTTTTCAGGTGTTTCCTGGACCAGTATCTGTCGCTTTCTGTTCCCTTGAAAAGTCTAGTCTGAAAGAGCAGAGTAGTCACCGTTCTATGGCTGAGCAAGATGTAGGAAGTATTGATTCAAATCCATTTAAATAAACTTACTGGTTCTTGAGGACAGTCTGACACACCTTTGAGTACTGTTCAGGACAGTGGATGCTGCATCAAGAAATAACTGAGAATTTTGCAACTGCATTACCCTGAGCTGTAAATAGAGCTCTGAAAACTCTTGCTATAATTTTGATTTATTGGTCAAGATTCCAGTAATATCAAGTATCTGTTCATATTTTGCATTTGCAAATGACTCCTATTTTCTCTATGTGATGATACTTGTTCCTCTAAAAAATATATTAAAGTTTATAGTGGAAGGTTGTTTTACATTTTCTAAAAAGATAAAAAATTACCTCTGAGGAGATTTTTAAAAGGAAAATGTATCTAAGATTAAAGCTATTATAAAATGTGAAATCTTCTCTGTGGAATAATTTTGAGATATAAAATATATACCAATATACTTGTTTCATTGGTTAAATATTGAACTAGTAATTGAGAAAAAATAAGATTTTTTTTTTTTTTGAGAGGGAGAAGGGGACTAGAAGAATATATTTTGGTCAGAGGGGACAGGGTAAGGCAAGACCTATCAAAGATATGCTCAAGAATCGAGAGTTTTTGACTTTGGCTGGATCAACAGAGAGTGGGAGATGGTGAGTAGGAGCCACATTGAGAAGGCCCTGTACTTTCAGAATGAGTTTAGTGTTTGTTTAGTAAGAAAATATTAACTTTAAAAAGAGATTTTAAGAGCTTAGCACATATCATACATAAATGAGAAAAGTGAAGTTCAAAGTGCTTAAGCACTTGTAGTAATCTGTCTTTTATCACCTTAAAAAATTTTGAAGGCCGGGCGCGGTGGCTCAAGCCTGTAATCCCAGCACTTTGGGAGGCCGAGGCGGGTGGATCACGAGGTCGAGAGAACGAGACCATCCTGGTCAACATGGTGAAACCCCGTCTCTACTAAAAATACAAAAAACTAGCTGGGCGTGGTGGCGCATGCCTGTAATCCCAGCTGCTTAGGAGGCTGAGGCAGGAGAATTGCCTGAGCCCAGGAGGTGGAGGTTGCAGTGAGCCGAGATCGCGCCATTGCACTCCAGCCTGGGTAACAAGAGCGAAACTCCGTCTCGAAAAAAAAAAAAAAAAAAAAAAAATTTTTTGAAAAGGAAACCAATTATGAACAGAAATCACTGTGAATTTATATGGTTTCATAGACACTTACACTTGGAACCCTGAGACTCATTGTAGGCATCTGCGAACAACAGCAGCAACAAAGTGGGATGGAAAGAAAAAAGAACAAAATATGAGGACATAAAAAGGAATCAGAAGGTAAAGTTAGATGCCAAAACTCTAGATTGGGCAAAAAATGGCGACCAAAGGAAAAATAAAAAGATAGACGCAGGGACAGATTATTGCCAAGAAACGTGCTTCATCTTCATTATTAGAAATCTCTCTTATTTATCTGGTCTGAGTTTTTAGATGCTGTTGTTTAAGCAGTGAAAATAATCTCACTGCCCTTTACTCCTCACACATTTTATTATTTCCCATAAAATGGATAGGGAGAAAAGCATAGTCTATAAACCTCTGTGATTTTTAGGTCTCTTTGAACCTATCCCTAGTTTTCTATGCCAATTGCCAATGGGCAGTGTTGAAGACACTATTTCTTGATGATACCTGCACTAGAGTCACCTGGGTTGTTTGTCTGAACTGCAGTTTTCTGAGCCCCACCCCAAACCTACTGAAGCAGTTTCTGAGACAGAGCCTGAGAATCTGCACTTAACTACTGAATCAGTTTCTGAAACAGAACCTGAGAATCTTTTTCACTGAAAATGAAAAGGAGTGCTGTTAATAATTACACCAAGACAAAAGGCATAAACCAGGATATGTGGTCCCTATACTAAAAATTTTTACAGTAGGCAATATTTTTTCAACCAAGGAGATAGAAGAGACAAGAGAATCAGAAAGATTACAGTGTTCTGTCGTCAAAACTAATGCAGAACATACATGAAAAAGGCTGCTGGAGACTTAGGTGTAGCCACCTAGCCCAAGATAACCCCCAGTAATAGAACTATTGGATTAGGCAAGAAAGGATGGGATAATATGTCTGCAGAAACAAAACACAGGGTCCCTAACCCAAACCCCCTGTTAAGACAAACCCATTCTTAACATAGCTAGTTACCGAAGATGAACCTATTGAGTGAATGGTTTACCAGACAAGATGGATGATGTCCTGGAAGCACAGGAGTGTTTCAGTGGTATAGGGACCAATAGAGTATAGCGTTCAACCTTAGGCTGTAGAAGAAAGTGAGAAGATAGAGGACTGAATCAGAATCTTACGGTGTTAGGGCAAACAGTGAACCATTTTAAGCAAGCAGTTGGGTGAACGGGAAGGGGGCAGATATTATACCAAGTAGTTTCATAATTTATCACATCCTTTGTTGGCTGTGGAGAGGAGCCCTTTTGCCACTGAATGGTACCAAAGACAGCTGACCTTGCCTTAAGTGTGTCAGAACTTCAGGCAGCTATTCAAGAACTGCCTCAAGATATTCCTCAATTGTGATTGTGCTCAGCACAACTGCAGGTGTGGGGATGGCAGTGGCCTCCCCTTACCACCCCTGACTTCTGCTACCTCATTGTAGAAGGGTATGTAATGAGGGATAGTTACTTGGGGGGAGCTGATTTATTTAAACAGGTTTAAAACAATGGAGAGCAAGCCAACATCTTCCCCTCTTGTCTCCACTGTCCTCAGGTGAGTGCTTATTATTGCATTTGACCCTTGACAGGGCAGAGTTAAGGTAACTGGACAATTGGTTTGGTACATATAATACCTGACCCAGGGTTGGTTGGTTGGGTTTTTTTACTTGGAAAGCCCTTTATCTTCTGAAAGTCATGACCAGGTGTGTGGGAGGAGCTCTGAGTGTGCCTGTGCCTAGACTCCTTCGGCCCCATCAGCCATCCCAGGAGCTTGGTTGGGCTCTAAGGTGCTCGCTGGGGCAGAATTAAGGAATCTCCCTGAGGACGGAGGGAAAGACCCTGATGCCTGAGACCTCGGAGAACCAGGGTCCCAGGGAACCGAGAGTGCGTCAGGATTCAGTGAGAGTAGTTAAGTGTCTCCAGCCGAGGAGAGAGAGAAGTCAACCCAGACTTGAGTGGCTGCTGAATACCCCGGTTGGCCTGAGGCGGCTTCTGAGCTCACAAAGGCCAGCCAGGTCATGTGCACAAATAAACCACTGAGACTGATGGATCCTCCAAGATTCCTAGAGAGGCAGCAGAGGAGCCGGCCCAAGTGCGTTAGAATATGGACGTTTCTCCAGTGTCCTGTGCGTTGCCGAACAACTATTTCCTTTCCCCTAGATAAGTGTTCAGTTTTTAGTTTCCCCAGACTCTGTGTAGGCGCTGTCTTGGTCTCCTATACCCATACAAGACCTCTATACTTTCTCAGCGATCCAAGGATCATGGTACTTGGAGGTGGTGCTGTTGCCCCATTTTCCCGGGCTTGCTCGAGTTCCCCTCTTTTATGTAGATCTCTCAGGATCTGGATTTTGTGTTCTGTGTTGGCTCCACCAGACATTTCAGAGACGCAGAGGGCTGAACAAAGCACGGTACAGAGCTGGGTCTGTATGGATCACCTCCTTAGATGGGGGCACAGACTTACCCCATCTGAGTGGGGGAAGCCTCACTGGAATCCATAGACTAACGGGTCTTTATGGCCAAAAGTTGGTTTCCTTGTATGTTTCCGGAATCCTACTACTGTTTTATCTGAATTATTTTACAGAGTTTTCACAAAAATCCCCTATACAAATTGTCATGATACTGTATATCTGTAAAGGCTTAGTACTTAAATGCTTTGCATGATCCTCCCAATTCTGCATAACAAAGGGAAGTGGTACGTGAATTTCTCTGGGTAGGAAAACATTGAGAAGTTAGCACATTCAAGCAAACATTCATTGAGTGCTGCACACTGGGCCAGGCTTTATGTCGCAAAAATGGGACTATGCCAGATAAAAGGCATTTTTTTACTGTAAAGTGTAATGAGAAAGACATGTTGCCTTGAGAAAAACAAACTTTGTACATAGGGACTTTGGAGGTGGGATGTTAAAGATAGTTTCCTTGAGTAGGCAATAGCAGAGCTGTCTCTGTGGACTGTCTGAAGTTGAATAGCAAAGAGGAAATGGACCTTGAGGGATAGAATATATGAAGAAAGGAGCAGAAAACCATTTCAGGAAACTCCAAATAAATGAAGGTGGGTGCATTCCAGCCTGGGCAACAAGAGTGGCAGAGGTGAGGCAAAGTGAGTAGAGAGTAACTGAAATATGCTGAGGAATTTAAAGTTTATATGGCAGTGTGCTTTTCCATAAATGTCACAGTACATAAATAAAATCTGTATGCACTCTGGTAAGCAGAAGAGACTAGGCTAAGGACATCAGCCTTCCTGGCCACCCCGGTAACTGAAGAGATCAGTATGCTGGTACTCCTATAAGCCATTTGGAGCACCCAGTAAACTGTGGCAATGCACAGTGGTTGGGCAATTAAATGCTCTGTCTGGATTTAAGCAGAGGAGTAATGTAGTCTTACTAGCTTTATAGAAATACTCTAAAAGTGGTGTGGTGAATGAACTGGAAGGGTGCAAAACTGAAAGCAAGAGAGACAAGAGACTTTTAGTTGTTAGAGAAAGAACCAAAACTACAAGTTGGTGAAAGTAAGTCACTGGCAACAGAAATGAAGAGGGCAACAGATGGAACTGTATTAAAGATCACAAATTTAACTAGACATGATAACTAACTAGATTGATGAAAGTGAGAAAGAAAAGGTACTGAGAGCACTTCCTGTCACATACTAAGTACTACGTAAGTATTATTTCAAATAAATGATTAGGTAAATGTGGCACTATTTTATAAGAGATGGCTAATATTGGATGAAAAATTGGTCACAAGGGGAAAATGATGAATTTTGGTGGTGAGGTGAAGATGCTTATTAGATGTACAAGTGAAAGGGTCTAATGCACCACTGGACTATAAGGGTCTGGAGCTCCAAAGAAAGATTGAGATGAGAGAATCAGACTTGGGAGTTTCCAGGTGAAAGCTAATGTCATAGAATGGTTGAGATTGCCCATAATGAATGTGGGATGAGAATAAGGCTGGATTTCAATTTAGGATACTAGATATTTTTGACAGGCAGAGTAAGAGCCATGAAGTAGACTAAAGAATAGTCATTGGAAACATATTCAAGGTACTTATATAATACAGTCAATACAATCACATACCACATAGCAATGTTACAGTCAATAGCAGACCACATGTACAATAGTTCCATAAGATAATAATACCGTATTTTTACTGTACATTTTCTGTGTTTAGATATTCAAATACCTGGCTTTGTGTTACAGCTGCCTACAATATTCAATACAGTAACATGCTGTACAGATTTTTAGCCTAGGAGCAATAGGTTATACCCTAGAGCATAGGTATATATTAGGCTCTACCAGTCTAGGTTTGTGGAAGTACACTCTATGATATTCTCACAATGACTGAATCACCAAAAGATACATTTCTCAGAACATAATCATGTGATTAAGCAATGCATGACTGTTCTTCCTGAGTGCCAAGCATTAAGCTAAACACTACAAAAAACAACTTATGGAAAAGCAACCAGAAAAGTGTAGTGTTTCTTAGAAGATCAGGAGTAGTTAGCAGTGTTAGGTGCTGCAGGGGCATCTGATTAGCTGGATGTGGTGGTGCATGCCTGTAATCCCGGCTACTTGGGAGGCTGACTTCGGAGAATTGCTTGGACCTGGGAAGTAGAGGTTTCAGTGAGCCAAGATTGTGCCATTGCATTCCAACCTGGGTAACGAGAGCAAAACTGTCTCAATACAAACAAACTTTTGAAATCATGTAGCACAGTTCTTGGCACAGAGAAGTTATACAGGCATATGTTATTTTACTTGCACTTTGCTTTATTGTACTTCACAGATACTGTGTTTTCTACAAATTGAAAGTTGGTAGCAACCCTGCATCAAGCAAGTTTGTCAACACCAATTTTCCAACAGCACATGCTCACTTCATGTTTCTGTGTCACATTTTGGAAATCGAGTATTTCAAAATTTAAAATTATTATATCTATTATGGTGACCTGTGATCAGTGATCTTTGATATAATTTGCAATTGTTTGGGGGCACCATTAACCACACCCATATAAGATGCCTAATTTAACTGGTAAATGTGGGCTGTGTTCTGACTCTTTCACCAACCAACCCATTCCCCGATTTCTCTCTTCTCAGGCCTCCCTATACCCTGAGACACAACAATGTTGGAGTGAAACCAGTTAATAACCCTACAGTGGCCTCTCAGTGTTCAAGTGAAAGGAAGTCTCACATCTCCCTCTTTAAGTTGAAAGCTAGAAATAATTAAGCTTAGTGAGGAAGACATGTTGAAAGCTGAGACAGGCTGAAAGATAGGCCTCTTTCACCAAACAGTCAGTTGTGAATGCAAAGGAAAAGTTCTTGAAGGAAGTTAAAGCTACCCATTGAACACACGAGTGAAAAGAAGGTAAAACAGCTTTATGGCTGATATGGAGAAAGTCTGAGTGATCTGGAAAGAAGATCAAACCAGCCACAACATGCCTTTACCCCAAAACCTAATCCAGAGCAGGACCCTAACTCTCTTCAGTTCTATGAAGGCGGAGAGAGATGAGGAAGCTGCAGAAGAAGAGTCTGAAGCTAGGAGAGGTTGGTTCATGAAGTTTAAGGAAAGAAGCTGTCTCCAAAACATAACTACAAACTAAAGGAGCAAATGTTGATGTAGACACTGCAGCAAGTTATTCAGGAAACCTAGCTAAGATAATGGATGAAGGTGGCTATACTAAACAGATTTTTAATGTAGATGAATTGATATTGGAAGAAGATACCATCTTGGACTTCCAAAACTAGAGAGAAGTCAGTACCTGGCTTCAAAGGACAGACTGACTTTCTTGATAGGAGCTAATGGAGCTGGTGACTTGAAGTTGAAGTCAATGCTCATCTACTAATCTGAAAATCCTAGCAACCTTAAGAATCATGCTGGCTGGGCATGGTGGCTCATGCCTGAAATCCCAGCACTTTGGGAAGCCAAGTCAGGACGATTGCTGAGCCCAGGAGTTTGAGACCAGCCTGGGCAACATGGAAAAACCTGTCTCTACAAAAAAATACAAAAATTAGCTGGATGTGGTGGTACACACCTGTGGTCCCAGCTACTAGGGAGGCTAAGGTGGGTGGACTGCTTGAACCTGGGAGGCAGAGGTTGTAGTGAGCCAATATTTCACTACTGCACTCCAGTTTGGGTGACAGAGAAAGACCCTGTGTCAGACAAACAAACAAACAAAAAAATCATGCTAAATCCACTTTTCCTGTGCTCTAAAAATGGAAAAACAAAGCCTGGATGATAGCACATTTATTTACAGCACAGTTTACTCAGTATTTTAAGCCCACTGTTGAGACCTACTGCTCGGGGGGCGCTAGGGAGCGGGGTGGTGGCGTGGAAATTCCTTTCAAAATATTACTGCTCATTGACAATGTACCAGTCACTGAAGAGCTCCTCAAGAGGTTAATATTATTTTCATGCCTACTAACACAGCTAACCATTCCACAGCCCACAGATCAAGGAGTAATTTCAACTTTCAGGTCTTATTATTTAAGAAATACATTTTGTAAGGGTACAGCTGCTAAAGATAGTGATTCCTCTGAGGGATCTGGGGAAAGTAAATTGAAAACCTCCTGGAGAGGATTCATATTCTAGATACAATCAAGAACATCTGTGATTCATGGGAAGAGAACAAAATATCAACATGAACAGGAGTTGGAAGTTGATTACCATCCTTATGGATGACTTTAAGAGGTTCAAGACTTCAGTGGAGGAAATAACTGCAGACATAGTGGAAACAGCAAGAGAACTACAATTAGAAGTGTAGCCTGAAGATGTGACAGAATTGCTTCATGCTTACGATAAAATTTGAATGGATGAGAAGTTGATTCTTATGGATAAGCAAAGAAAGTGGTTTCTTGATATGAAATCTACTCCTGATGATGCTCTGAAATTGTTGAAATAACAGCAACGAATTTAGGATGGCACATAAACTTAATTGATAAAGCAGTGGCAGAGTTTGAGAGGATTTACTCCAATTTCTAGAGTTCTTTGGGTAAAATGCTATTAAACAGCATTGCATACCACAGAGAAATAGTTCATGAATGGAAGAAACAATTGATGCAGCAAACTTCAGTGTTGTCAAATTTTAAGAAATTGCCACAGCCAACCCAGCCTTCAGCAGTTATCACCCTGATCAGCCATCAGTCAGCAGCCATCAAGGCAAGACTCTGCAGCCTCAAAAAGATTATGATTCACTGAAGACTCCTGCCTTGTTTTGCAATAAAAATCTCTTAATTAAGGTATGTGCATTTTTTAGACATGCTACTCCACACTTAATAGACTGTCATATAGCATAAACATAACATTTATATGCACTGGAAAGCCAAAAAAATTGTGACTCACTTTAGTGCAATATTAGTTTTGCAGTGTTCTATAACCAAATCTGCAGTATCCCCGATGTATGTCTGTAAATGTTAATTGACCCATCTTTGACATGCAGTATAAGCAGGCCAAGCTATGTGCATCGCTTTTTGCACCTATTTTCTTAATCATCTGAATATTTCACTGCATTTTATAGTTCTAAAAGCGAATAGTGTCTTATCTCTTAGTTAATTTTATGTCATTTTTTGCTTATTTCACAGAATTTTTTTTTTTTACTTTCCAATTATTGAATTGATCACAGCCATTCACTCTGAGTAAATTTGTTCCAGTTTGGAGTTGATCTTCTTTAACAATAATGCGTTACGCCTTAGCACCAGCCTGAAGTATACCTACTACTACAGTGAGTCTTCTGAGCTGTTTAACCCAGAAATGTATTCACACCAATTGCAGAAGAACCAGAGAAATGTCAAATAGTTAAAGAATCTAGACCACATAGAAAGGGAGCTTCTGGTCAGGAGTTCTTCAGACAGGGTACTATGGGTATTTACTTGGGCCTCAAGCATCCAGCTTCAGGCTAGCAGCAATACACAGTAAGTAACACATCTTGGAACTACTGATACTGGAGTAGTTCCTGACCATCCTGCCCAAGAAATCCAGGTCTGAGTATAGGAGCATCACAGGGTATAGGGAAGAGGCTGTCTGTACTGAAGAATTTGGAGAGAAAGCTGAATGATCTGGGAGGAAAGGTAAAATAAAGAAATGTCTATCAGATAGCAGGTATTATCTCCAGAGAGAGATAAGAGAGTTGAGATCACTTTTCTTGTGTAGTTACAGGAAATGGCTAACCTTACTGGCCAGAATTATTTATTTTTGCTCTACTTTGGTTTTTTAACTTGGTTTTTTAACTTGTGTATTTTCCCCTTTGTCCCTTTATCCCTGCCCTTGCAGGGATAACCACTTTCAGCTCTCCCATTGTGTGTTCCACAGTAATACTGGGATTTTAAGCTCTAATTATCAGCAAATGTCGCCCTCATTTAACTATATCTAATTGTCCCCAGTTCCCCACCCTCCTACAGGAGACAAGTGCCCCCAACGACAAATAGCGTATCTGGCAGCCGCATAGGACTCACCTGGCGTCTGGCTCCAGCCAGTAAAGGGTCAGCTCAGCTCTGAATCTTGGGAGTTGTACACTGTTAAGGAGAACAATGAGGAGGAGATAGCAAAGAAGAAGTTAGGAAATGTTGCTGTCTTTTTGCATTTTTCCAAATGAACCTCGTCACTAAAATCTCTGCCTACCTTTTATTTGATCTCTAATGCCTATTCCACTTTTAACTTGTTCCTCTAAGCATACCACTTTAACCTTTTCTTTCTTCACTTCTTTGCCTTAAAATTGTTTTTTAAAAAAAAATCCTGGCCGGGCGCAGTGGCTCAAACCTGTAATCCCAGCACTCTGGGAGGCTGAGGCGGGTGGATCACGAGGTCAAGAGATCGAGACCATCCTGGTCAACATGGTGAAACCCCGTCTCTATTAAAAATACAAAAAATTAGCTGGGCATGGTGGCGCGTGCCTGTAATCCCAGCTACTCAGGAGGCTGAGGCAGGAGAATTGCCTGAACCCAGGAGGCGGAGGTTGCGGTGAGCCAAGATTGTGCCATTGCACTCCAGCCTGGGTAACAAGAGTGAAACTCCGTCTCAAATTAAAAAAAAAAAAAAATCCTGCTGCTTTCTTATTTTGCATGGTTGAGTTTCTCCCTTCTAATACTGCCAACTTCCTTGATGCAGACCTCTTATCCCAAAGACAGGAGAATGTTTTTCTATATTGAAGTCAATAGAAAACTATTAAAAGGCTACATGCAATATATAGTTTTAAATGTACATTTTTAAATGAGTGGAGGAAACAAAACTTTAGTAGGTGCATGCTTACTAGGAAAGCATGCATACATGCTAAAATGTGATTATACTATACATATTGTTTACCACTTGTTTTTTAGTTTAATATTACATTATGGATATCTTTCCAAGTTACATATAATACATATATGTAGCTGACATACATTTCACTGCAATAGTATTGACTTATTTTGTAACTGGCCTTAGAAGGTTTTTACTTTGCTTCTTTTTTCTTTGTTTTTTAAATACTGCCAACTAAAAGCCATAAACTTTTTTCTTTTTCTTTTTCTTTTTTTCTTTACTTTGTATTATGAAACAAGTTTAATAAGCATATATAAAAGTAGAATTGTACTCCTTTTGATAAATCCCTACGAACCTGTCACCCACCTTCAGCATTATCAGATTATGGCCGATCTTGTCTCACTTACAACTCTACTCATATCCCATGCTTTATATATATATCCCATAATATGATATATTTGATTATATATATCATATTATATATACGAATATGATATCTGAGATAGGCTTCAAAGTTATTATAGGTTATTTCACCTATAACTCTACTTATATCCCATGCTTTTATTATATATATTATATATTATATATGTCATATTACATATAAGAATATGATATCTGAGATAGGCTTCAAAATAATTTTTATATATAATTTTGAAGCCTATCTCAGATATCATATTCTTTCAAATGTAAATATTTCAATATTTGCTGTAAAAGATATAAAATTTAAAAATGTAAACAATACTATTTCATACCTAAACAATTAACAGTAATTCCTTAACATCAATTTTCCAGTTTTCTCAAAGATGTCATAAACTTTTTTTGTTCATCTTGTTTTTTAACTTATTTGAATCAAGATCCAAGGAAGAAAACAAACTGTGATGGGTTGATATGCTTGTAAGTTTCTTTTAATATGTGAGTACCCTCTCCTGCTTTCTCTTCCCTTACAACTCACTTGTTAAGAAAATCAAGTTGTTTGTCCTATATAGTTGCACACAGTATGCGTTTTGCTGTCTGCATCACGTGCTGTCATCTAAGATGTTCTGTTGTCCTGTTTTTTGTAAATTGTAGTAATGTACAGGCTTGATCAAAATCAAGTTTTAAGGTTTTTTTTTTTTGGCCAGATAAATTTAATTATTTTGGCAAGATGATGTGTTATATTTGAAGCCTATATTTTCTGTTTGTGTCTTTTTCGGTGGTATTAGCAGCTGTTGATCCTCAATACCTAGAGTCAGTAATCCACTGGGGTCCCAAAATGGTGACATTCTAATTGTATCCTTCTTTCTTCATTTAATAAAGCTGGAATAGTTATATAAAGAGACATTTCCCCTGATTTTCTGTTTAGTAATCCAATGGTTTGTATAGGAAAGGTAAGCTAATTGCTTAAGTAACTCCCCACTACCTTGCTTTTTAGATTAGTTTTCAAAACAATGAATTAGTTTGTAATTATCCTTTAAAACAGTGGCCAATTGTTAGTATCTTTAGGAACTTGTGGATTAAAGTGCATTTGATGTTTTTCAATCCATAATACTATCCTTACTGAAGCTCATTTGTCTCCTCTTCAAGCAGTCAAAACCTTTTCAGTTTGGCATCTGAATCTTTATGACATGAACCTAGTCATCTTTGATAGTTTTCTCGCTGACCTGTATGATAAGATGTATCAAGTCCATCTTATAGTTTTCCTTACATAGTCCTAGAATTAATACTTTTTCCAAGGACCCGATTCTGTTTAATGGGAAATAGTATTTCAAAAGCAAAAATAGGGCATTAGGAGTGCTTATGGCTTAGTCATTGGTACTAGGCCTTTTCAGTACTGAGTTAGGAAAAAATTTAGGAGAAAGTGTATATCAAGAGTTCACATCGGCCGGGTGTGGTGGCTCACGCCCGTAATCCAAGCAGTTTGGAGGCCAAGGCGGGTGGATAACCTGAGGTCGGGAGTTCAAGACCAGCCTGACCAACATGATGAAACCCTGTCTCTTAAAAAAAAAAAAGAGTTCACATTGATAGTTCTAATTCACATTTAGTACTTTGGGGTCTGAATCGCTTACCCTCATCTGTATCTCCTTTTGGAGGATTCTCAAAGACACCAGGAATGATAGAATATCAAATAATTACTAATTTGCTTTTTCTCACAATATACACACAATAGCCTTGACATAAAAAAGTCAGTATTACCCACAAATATGATTACTGTAAATAGCTTAATCGTGGTGGTGGTGGTGGTGGTGGTGGTCGTGGTGGTGGTGTGTTTGTGTGTGTATACATGTTTTCTATTGTTTTTGTCCTTAAGATATATCTAACTTGGGCCATATATAAAAAAAAGTACTGCTTTGACGACATTGAAATAATTACTCTTTTATATGGTTACGCCACCAGTGGATATACATGTAAGTTCAGTTTGTTGAATTGTTTTCAATGTTCAGAGAGGGTTTTTTTTGTTTTTTTTTTTGAGACGGGAGTTTCGCTCTTGTTACCCAGGCTGGAGTGCAATGGCGCCATCTCGGCTCACCGCAGCCTCCGCCTCCTGGGTTCAGGCAATTCTCCTGCCTCAGCCTCCTGAGTAGCTGGGATTACAGGCACGCGCCACCATGCCCAGCTAATTTTTTGTATTTTTAGTAGAGACGGGGTTTCACCATGTTGACCAGGATGGTCTCGATCTCTCGACCTCATGATCCACCCGCCTCGGCCTCCCAAAGTGCTGGGATTACAGGCTTGAGCCACCGCGCCCGGCCCAGAGAGGGGTTTTTAAAAATTATTTAAAATGTAAATTCTTAGATGTTAAGTCTGTAAGGTATTTTTGAGGTTCTATTCTTGTTTTCTTCTTCCTATTGCGTCCCTTTCCCATCAGTAACTTTTTTGTGCACCTTTTATGGGTTATTTTTCATTATTTGTTGTTTTAATACAAGCATATGTATATATACACACAAATACACACACAACCCTTTTTATATGATAGCACATCATAATTTCAGTCATAAACTCAATACATATCTATTTTATGGGTAACATTTATTCTTTTGTCATTCTGGCATGTAGTTCTAAAAAGTGTTTATTTCATGAGCAAGTAATTGAGTAAAGTATATGTAAATGAGTGAATTATGCTGACATTTTCAGTGTCATCTTTCAGAAGATTTGATCAAAATGGAGAATGAGAATGCTCTTCCCAATCAGAAGAAATGAAGAAATAACACACCAACAGGAAAACACTGTCAGATTTGATGGCAGTATTCCTGAGAACTTTGTGCAGATGTCCAAATGTATGAGGAAAGACTAGGAAAATAACCAGAAAATACCACAGTGGTAAATGTAGAATGACTTTTGCTACTATGCTGGGCTAAGTTTAAAAAAAATTTTTTTGTGGAGACACGGGTCTCACTGTGTTGCCTAGGTGTGTCTCAAACTCCTGCCTCATAGGATCCATGGATTTTGGCCTCCCAAAGTACTGGGATACAGGCATGAGCTACCATACCCAGCTGGTTTCCATTGCCTTTCATATATTGTCTCACTTCCTTTTCCTAAAATATTCCTTATTTTGGTGAAATTACTACTTTAAAAAAATTTGCTTTATCACAGTGTAGACTGCTGCTATGGTCTGAATATCTGTGTCTCCCCAAAATTCATATATGGAAAACTAATCAGTCATCACTGTGATACCCTCACAGTGGGGGTTTTGGGAGATGCCCTAATAAATTAAATTAGCGCCCTTAAAAAAAAAAAAAAAAGGCCACCTAGAACTGCCATACCCTTCCACTATGTGAGGACAAAGCAAGAAGGCACCATCATTGAGCTTCACCAGATACCAGGTCTGCTGGTGCCTTAATCTTGGACTTCTCCTCCTCCAGAACTGTGAGAAATAAATGTTTGTTGTTTATACATCACCCAGTTTATGGTGTTTTTGTTATAGTAGATTGAACAGATTAAGACACACTTTTTTCTTTCTTCCTTTTTCTAAAGAGACAGGGTCTTACTCTGTTGCCCAGGCTGGAGTGCAGTGGTGCAACCATAGCTAACAGCCTTGAACTCCTGGGCTCAAGGCTCAAGGGATCCTCCCAACTCAGCCTCCTGAGTAGCTAAAACTACAGGCATGTGTCAACGTGTCCAACTAATCTTTAAATTTTTTGTAGAGACAAGATCTCACTATATTGCCCAGGCTGGTCTTGAACTCCTGGCCTCATACAATCCTCCTTTGGCCACCCAAAGTACTTAGACACAGGCATGAGCCACCATGCCCAGCCACATGTATACTTTGCTTCATTCCTTCTTTCCTTCCCCCTTTCTTTCT